CCGTGTTCTCAAAGCCCTTCCTCCATACCAGCCAGATCAGATACACAATTATTCAAAATTATGTAAACATATTAACATTGATATTCATACTATATTATATTATATTTATTTCACAAAGTATAAAGGATATTAGAAACGAATAAAATAAGAGGGGGGGTGGGGGAGTGCTCAAAATGTCAAAACCTGCCAGTACCGTCGATATAGACTTGCACCATTCTTGCAATGTTTGAGTTTGCCTCATTATTTAAATCTATATCACCCTTTAGAATTAGGTCTAATGACATATCTACTGGATACCATGCTAAATTCTGCAATAAGGAAAGGCGTCGGATGTGGTATTTAGGGCATGTGAAGAAGAAGTGATACGAGTCCTCGCATGTGTGTCCACATTCACATCGTGCTGAAAAAGTAAGATTAGCCCTAAAAAGACCATAATTGAGAGTACTTGCCCTGTTTCTTAATCTACAATGAAGAATATTTAGCCTACGCGGACCAAAATTGAGAAAGCATGGATTACATTTAGTTATTACATTATTCAACTTATGTATATTTGATTTGAACGAGTTCAGAGTTTGGGACTGTCTTATGGTTGTGTCTAAATTATTCCAAAGATCAACAGTTGAAGGAAAGAAAGAGTTGCGCATAGTTTGGAGTCTATACCGTTGCTGCCGCAATGGCTGAGAATTTCTTAAATTACAATGAGTCAGATCTCCAATATTTTGAGGTAGGATATTACATAAGTATGCGGGTGCAGTGCCAAGTTTTATAGTATAAAGGAGGGACAGTTTTCTGATTTCTCTTCGTTCTGACAATGGTAGCCACCCAATTTCTGCATATAACAATTCGTTTTTTGTGTACATTGGTAATCCTGTGACAATACGGGCCGCATCTAGTTGTAGTTTTTCAAGATTATTTGAATTGATAGCACCACAGTTATCCCATACCTCACAGCCATACTCTAATATTGGTCTAATATATGTTAAATACAATTTCTTTAAGTTATCCCTTTTTAAGTATAAATTTCAATTTGCGAAGTGTTGCTGTGTATTTTGATACTTTCTTGATAATTTCGTCTATATGCTTGGACCACTTGGCATCACTTCTTAGGAAAACGCCTAGGTGCTTATGTTGATCGGTTATTTCAATAGGGATGTTATTGAACGTAAACAGAGGTTGATAGGGTAGATTTGAAAAAGATACTAACATAATTTCCGTCTTCTTAGGATTGAACGACATAAGCCAATCTTTTGACCATTTTTTTAGAGTTTGTAAGTCGTTGTTTACCACATGTACAATATCATCTAGAGTTTGTGAAGAGTATGATAATGACGTGTCGTCGGCAAAGAGACGAGACAATGATGTGAGTTCAATAGATATATCATTTATATAAACGAGGAAAAAGAGAGGCCCTAGAACAGATCCCTGAGGGACACCAGCATTGACTGTTTTTAAGGACGAGTTAGAACTATTTACATAGACAGACTGTTTTCTGCATGACAAATAATTAGTTATCCAATTAAGTATATTTCCTGACAGGCCATGTTGTTTCAGTTTGTAAATAAGACCTTTATGCCAAACTCTATCGAAGGCTTTAGAAAAGTCACAGAAAATAAATGCTACATGTTCATGATTTTCTAAGGATAAAAGCATAGAGTGGTAGAGTTCTATAAGTTGATGAGTACAAGAGTGATTTGGTCATATACTATATACTCAGCATTGCTATCTTCTGTTGCCATGGTTTCTGTGATCCCTTTTTATATGACTTAGCGTTGCTATCTTCTATTTCCTTGGTTTCTGTGATCCCTATTTTATATGACTTAGCATGGCTATCTTCTGTTTCCTTGGTTTCTGTGTTCCCTATTTTATATGACTTAGCATGGCTATCTTCCGTTTCCTTGGTTTCTGTGTTCCCTATAGTATATGACTTAGCATGGCTATCTTCTGTTTCCTTGGTTTCTGTGTTCCCTATTTTATATGACTTAGCGTTGCTATCTTCCGTTTCCTTGGTTTCTGTGATCCCTATTTTATATGACTTAGCATTGCTATCTTCTGTTTCCATGGTTTCTGTGATCCCTATTTTATATGACTTAGCGTTGCTATCCTCGGTTTCTGTGATCCCTAATTTATATGACTAAGCGTTGCTATCTTCTGTTTCCTTGGTTCCTGTGTTCCCTATTTCATGACTTAGTGTTGCTATCTTCTGTTTCCATGGTTTCTGTTTCCTATTTCATGACTTAGCGCTGCGATCTTCTGTTTCCATGGTTTCTGTGTTTCCTATTTTATATGACTTAGCATTGCTATCTTCTGTTTCCCTGGTTTCTGTGTTTCCTATTTTATATGACTTAGCGTTGCGATCTTCTGTTTCCTTGGTTTCTGTGTTTCCTATTTTATATGACTTAGCGTTTCGATCTTCTGTTTCCATGGTTTCTGTGTTTCCTATTTTAAATGACTTAGCATTGCTATCTTCTGTTTCCCTGGTTGCTGTGTTTCCTATTTTATATGACTTAGCGTTGCGATCTTCTGTCTCCATGGTTTCTGTGTTTCCTATTTTATATGACTTAGCATTGCTATCTTCTGTTTCCATGGTTTCTGTGTTCCCTATTTTATATGACTAAGCGTTGCTATCTTCTGTTTCCATGGTTTCTATGATCCCTATTTTATATGACTTAGCATTGCTATCTTCTGTTTCCATGGTTTCTGTGATCCCTATTTTATATGACTTAGCATTGCTATCTTCTGTTTCCATGGTTTCTGTGTTCCCTATTTCATATGACTTAGCGTTGCTATCTTCTGTTTCCATGGTTTCTGTGATCCCTATTTCATATGACTTAGCGTTGCTATCTTCTGTTTCCATGGTTTCTGTGTTCCCTATTTTATATGACTTAGCGTTGCTATTTTCTGTTTCCATGGTTTCTGTGTTCCCTATTTTATTTAACTTAGCGTTGCTATCTTCTGTTTCCATGGTTTCTGTGTTCCCTATTTTATATAACTTAGCGTTGCTATCTTCTGTTTCCATGGTTTCTGTGATCCCTATTTTATATGACTTAGCGTTGCGATCTTCTCCCAAAGTATTTGTTTTTCTGGTTCCTGTTTCTCCCGTTTTATTTTTGTATATTGTATTTGTATAATATTTTCCCCCCCTTCTATTTCTAGTTTCATAATTGTCTCCCAAAATTGTTTTCTTGGCTTACATATTTTGTTTTTGTGACTGTGTAAACTCTTTCCCTTACATATTTTGTTTTTGTGACTGTGTAAACTCCTTCCCTTACATATTTTGTTTTTGTGACTGTAAACTCCTTCCCTTACATATTATGTTTTTGTGACTGTTTAAACTCCTTCCCTTACATATTTTCTTTTTGTGACTGTGTAAACTCCTTCCCTTACATATTTTCTTTTTGTGACTGTTTAAACTCCTTCCCTTACATATTTTGTTTTTGTGACTGTTTAAACTCCTTCCCTTACATATTTTGTTTTTGTGACTGTGTAAACTCCTTCCCTTACATATTTTGTTTTTTTGACTGTGTAAACTCCTTCCCTTACATGTCAGTGCTTATTTGTTCCTCTCAAATCAGCTGCTGTCAATACCTTTCAAAACTATTATATAAGCCATGATGTGATTTTTGTTTGGAATATTAGACCCAAGACAAGGATAGTTTATGTTCAATTTTATTCAAATACTGGTACAATTTGATTATAAAGTTGATAACATATATTAATAACTTTTTGTAAGGAAATTTTCCCATAATTAAATAATACATGGTAGCATATTCCAATCAATCAGATAGTTTGTCATATTGAATTGTTTAGTATTAAGAACATCTGAGTCTGCAGGCACAAATCTAAATGAATTAATATTAAGTATAAAACATTCCACTATCTCATCATTGTCGTCTACCACTGTTACATTCCTCTGTCTCTCTTGTGTTAACATCACTCTCACAAAACATCCTAAATCAGACACCAGACTACTAAGGCTTCAAACCATTCTCAACCAAAGTAGAAATATATTGCAATTCATTCTCTGAATATTAATGATCCAGTAATAACTAGAATTTTGTTTTTGTGAACAAAAACATATGTCTCCCCTTATTAGCCAATAGAAAAACTCTGGTATACAAAATTAACAAAGGGTCATATCGCTTTATATAGTGGGGCACGAGACCCAAATTAAGAATTTGACACTCCTACTTACCCAAGATACATTAAAACTTTAGCAAGTTTGGTCAACGTAGGTGAAACTAGAACACTGACAGGTCAGTAAGGGCCCCGTCTTGTGGCAATATATCCCCATAATCATCAAGAAGCAATCTGCCCATATAGCTGAACTTGTCGTTTGACATTTGGACTTAAAAAAAATCGCAAGCAGACAAAATATACATTTTACATGGACTATGATGTGAGTCTTGTTTCCTTCCACTTCCATATTTGCTGGGCTAACAGTGACCTTGACCTTTGGTCCACTGACTTCTGTTTAATTCCGACCAACTTTGCTTCAAAGTATCATAACAAAATGTTCCCCAGTGAAAAGATACTGAATTTGACCTCATCCTTTGACCCAGTGACCTTGACCTTAAGTCAGTTGACTCTTCGTTAAATTCCAACCAACTTTGCTTCATAATGTCATAACAAAATGTTCATCAGTGAAAAGATACAAAATTTGACCTTGACCTTTGACCCAGTGACCTTGACCTTTGGTCAGTTAATACCTTGTTTGATTTTGACGCAGGTATACTTCAAGTTTGATTAAGATATCTTTAACGGTTTGAAATTTACGGGTCGGACAAGAATTTACTGAAAATGTGCACTTATTTGACCTTTGACCTTGAGGTGAAGGTCACAGTGACTTAATTCCAGTGCACTGCACACCTCCTGTGGGTGATGCATGCATACCCAAAGTTTCATCAAGATATCTTTAACGGTTAAGAAGAAGAAGAAGAAGAAGAAGAAGAAGCTAGCATTCAGCAATTCTAGCACTGCCCAATCACATACTCATTTTTCAAGCGGAGTAAAGTATCTTGCTCAAATATACAACACAGTGCCGTGCCGTGACTCCAACACGCAACCCTTCGGTAACGAGCCCAGCATCCTACCAATAGACAACTGTGCCTCCAGTGACATTCTTTACTTTTTTGTAGAATTTACTCATATGTCTTCCTAATTAAAATTAGTCATTTTTTCATCAAAATCTTCATCAACTGTTTTCTGGATCAAGAAGAAAATCTTGAATATCTTCTTTCATTTTGGACCTGTTGAAAAGGTAGTAAAAACCATTAGTTAACTGGTATATAGATGTTATTGATTGATAGTGTATCAAGGTCAATACTTTTTCCCACAGTTTATGCCCTTTTCTCCCTCTGTAATATAGATGAATGTATCGTAACAGCAAATATTAGTTTACATACTTTACAAAGTAATTACAAATGAACGGCAAAATGATCGTCTGAGGAATTCGGATTTTACCAGTGACAGGTAAACGTTTGACTGGGAGACAGTTTCCCTGTATACAGTCAATATATTTTTCGATCAAAACATGCAATAAACATTGATTTACCTGCGTATTCTATATGAAATCTGTCTGAAAAGTTTTTCTGGCAGTGCTGTAGGGTCTGCCTGTAAAACAGATACATATTATTAAAACACTGTCGCACAAATACGCTGAAAAATGTCATTAGGATAACTGGGATGAAATCAAACCTCGATTTATTGAATGAAATTTATTTTTCATGTTTACCTATACCCCCTTAAAACCCTATCAATTTTGTGACCCTGATTTTGTAAACATTGCTTTATATGCCTGCATGTTCATGATACCTAGTTCAATGATAAGCAGTAGATGATACCTAGTTCAATGATAAGCAGTAGATGATACCTAGTTCAATGATAAGCAGTAGATGATACCTAGTTCAATGATAAGCAGTAGATGATACCTAGTTCAATGATAAGCAGTAGATGATACCTAGTTCAATGATAAGCAGTAGATGATACCTAGTTCAATGATAAGCAGTAGATGATACCTAGTTCAATGATAAGCAGTAGATGATACCTAGTTCAATGATAAGCAGTAGATGATACCTAGTTCAATGATAAGCAGTAGATGATACCTAGTTCAATGATAAGCAGTAGATGATACCTAGTTCAATGATAAGCAGTAGATGATACCTAGTTCAATGATAAGCAGTAGATGATACCTAGTTCAATGATAAGCAGTAGATGATACCTAGTTCAATGATAAGCAGTAGATGATACCTAGTTCAATGATAAGCAGTAGATGATACCTAGTTCAATGATAAGCAGTAGATGATACCTAGTTCAATGATAAGCAGTAGATGATACCTAGTTCAATGATAAGCAGTAGATGATACCTAGTTCAATGATAAGCAGTAGATGATACCTAGTTCAATGATAAGCAGTAGATGATACCTAGTTCAATGATAAGCAGTAGATGATACCTAGTTCAATGATAAGCAGTAGATGATACCTAGTTCAATGATAAGCAGTAGATGATACCTAGTTCAATGATAAGCAGTAGATGATACCTAGTTCAATGATAAGCAGTAGATGATACCTAGTTCAATGATAAGCAGTAGATGATACCTAGTTCAATGATAAGCAGTAGATGATACCTAGTTCAATGATAAGCAGTAGATGATACCTAGTTCAATGATAAGCAGTAGATGATACCTAGTTCAATGATAAGCAGTAGATGATACCTAGTTCAATGATAAGCAGTAGATGATACCTAGTTCAATGATAAGCAGTAGATGATACCTAGTTCAATGATAAGCAGTAGATGATACCTAGTTCAATGATAAGCAGTAGATGATACCTAGTTCAATGATAAGCAGTAGATGATACCTAGTTCAATGATAAGCAGTAGATGATACCTAGTTCAATGATAAGCAGTAGATGATACCTAGTTCAATGATAAGCAGTAGATGATACCTAGTTCAATGATAAGCAGTAGATGATACCTAGTTCAATGATAAGCAGTAGATGATACCTAGTTCAATGATAAGCAGTAGATGATACCTAGTTCAATGATAAGCAGTAGATGATACCTAGTTCAATGATAAGCAGTAGATGATACCTAGTTCAATGATAAGCAGTAGATGATACCTAGTTCAATGATAAGCAGTAGATGATACCTAGTTCAATGATAAGCAGTAGATGATACCTAGTTCAATGATAAGCAGTAGATGATACCTAGTTCAATGATAAGCAGTAGATGATACCTAGTTCAATGATAAGCAGTAGATGATACCTAGTTCAATGATAAGCAGTAGATGATACCTAGTTCAATGATAAGCAGTAGATGATACCTAGTTCAATGATAAGCAGTAGATGATACCTAGTTCAATGATAAGCAGTAGATGATACCTAGTTCAATGATAAGCAGTAGATGATACCTAGTTCAATGATAAGCAGTAGATGATACCTAGTTCAATGATAAGCAGTAGATGATACCTAGTTCAATGATAAGCAGTAGATGATACCTAGTTCAATGATAAGCAGTAGATGATACCTAGTTCAATGATAAGCAGTAGATGATACCTAGTTCAATGATAAGCAGTAGATGATACCTAGTTCAATGATAAGCAGTAGATGATACCTAGTTCAATGATAAGCAGTAGATGATACCTAGTTCAATGATAAGCAGTAGATGATACCTAGTTCAATGATAAGCAGTAGATGATACCTAGTTCAATGATAAGCAGTAGATGATACCTAGTTCAATGATAAGCAGTAGATGATACCTAGTTCAATGATAAGCAGTAGATGATACCTAGTTCAATGATAAGCAGTAGATGATACCTAGTTCAATGATAAGCAGTAGATGATACCTAGTTCAATGATAAGCAGTAGATGATACCTAGTTCAATGATAAGCAGTAGATGATACCTAGTTCAATGATAAGCAGTAGATGATACCTAGTTCAATGATAAGCAGTAGATGATACCTAGTTCAATGATAAGCAGTAGATGATACCTAGTTCAATGATAAGCAGTAGATGATACCTAGTTCAATGATAAGCAGTAGATGATACCTAGTTCAATGATAAGCAGTAGATGATACCTAGTTCAATGATAAGCAGTAGATGATACCTAGTTCAATGATAAGCAGTAGATGATACCTAGTTCAATGATAAGCAGTAGATGATACCTAGTTCAATGATAAGCAGTAGATGATACCTAGTTCAATGATAAGCAGTAGATGATACCTAGTTCAATGATAAGCAGTAGATGATACCTAGTTCAATGATAAGCAGTAGATGATACCTAGTTCAATGATAAGCAGTAGATGATACCTAGTTCAATGATAAGCAGTAGATGATACCTAGTTCAATGATAAGCAGTAGATGATACCTAGTTCAATGATAAGCAGTAGATGATACCTAGTTCAATGATAAGCAGTAGATGATACCTAGTTCAATGATAAGCAGTAGATGATACCTAGTTCAATGATAAGCAGTAGATGATACCTAGTTCAATGATAAGCAGTAGATGATGAGCTAGTCCTGTATTATTACCATGTCTTTTGTTGTCATTCGACAACCGTAGCACAACACTGACATCACTTCGTCCTTCTTCAAACTGGAAAAATAAAACAAAGGTATTTTATAGTATCTAGATAACTATTGTACTCACTTGACAAATCTTAAATACTGAATTTATAAACATATTATCTCAGGAATTAAAGACGTTTATAGCTTATCCTGGAGGTCTATCTTTCAAAATTTTCATTACATCACTGTAGATATCTTTAATGGTTTAAAAGTTACAGCCCGGACAAGATGTTCTTGAAAAATGTGCACCTATATGACTTTTTATCTCCCTCCCCACAACAGGTGACCTTACCCCTCAGACTGTGTGTGACAGTTACCAGCCCCCTCCCTACAACAGGTGACCTTACCCCTCAGACTGTGTGACAGTTATCATCTCCCTCCCCACAACAGGTGACTTACCCCTTAGACTGTGTGTGACAGCTACCATCTCCCTCCCCACAACAGGTGACTGACCCCTTAGACTGTGTGTGACAGCTACCCTCTCCCTCCCCACAACAGGTGACTTACCCCTTAGACTGGGTGTGACAGCTACCATCTCCCTCCCCAGAACAGGTGACCTTACCCCTCAGCCTGTGTGTGACAGCTACCATCCCCCTCCCCACAACAGGTGACCTTTCCCCTCAGACTGTGTGTGACAGCGACCATCTCCCTCCCCACAATAGGTGACCTTACCCCTCAGACTGTGTGTGACAGCTACCATCTCCCTCCCCACAACAGGTGGCACTATCTCCACATCCATCGACCCTGCCGTTTTTCTTCTTGGAGATTAGAGATGAGAACTCTACTGCATTCAGTGCTGACGAGGCACCAACATCTGTATCCAGAGGACCCTTCAATGATAATGTTAATTGTCGGTTGATACACATATTTATCATCTTGGTGTGTAATATATTCAGTCATGAAACTTGACAATTTGGTGACAAAGAAACTGAAGAAATTATGAAATATCATGAAACTGTTCAATCATTCCCATCAGTATATTTTTTGTATGTAAATTTTTATATAGTTGCTGTTAATTTTATTTTTGATTTATATTTCTCACAGATACTTGCTATTCTAAATTCAATTCACTACTTAGACTGCTCCCTGTTTTATAAGGAGCAAATGTTGATTTCCAATTCACAGACACAACGTTAGAAATATCTCACAATAGAGTTGCCATTTCTGAAACAATATTGACAGCATTAAAAAACGTGGACTTGCTTCACAATGATAACAAACCAAACACAATGTTGACCTACCTGACACAATGCACAGTTGCTGTTTTCTCCATCCCTTTTCTCTGTACTTAACTTCTCTCCCGTCCTAAAACATCATATTTTCTTACAATACAACTGTTTTAAAGTCATTTAAAAATTCATATACTTCATAATATTTATCTTTGTAAATCTTATTTTAAAATTTTTTCATAGTTCTTACCTTGATAGTAATTATATTTCTATATCTGACATTGACATAAGAATTGAATTTTTCGTATGATGTCAACATTTTATTTGTGATATTACTTGTTAGTAAATATTAAACGCAAAACAGGACCATATTACACACCTCATGATGTTGCTGACGGTGGAGGGGTAGTCGGTCTGAAGTCCTGTCACAAACGCCTCGGTCAGGTGTTCAATGCTCGACCCTTCATGTGTCTGATAATAAAAGAAAATTTTAACATCAGGTGCCGACAAACTGAAACCCTGCATAATAAAATTCTATAATTAATGAATTCATGTATTTCAAAAGTTAAAAGACATTCATTACTATACTTACCTTGGTTGTGAGTGTCAGTAAGAACACAGACTCCACACCATGTAGGGACTATACTTACCTTGGTTGTTAGCGTCAGTAAGAACACAGACTCCACACCATGTAGGGACTATACTTACCTTGGTTGTGAGTGTCGGTAAGAACACAGACTCCACACCATGTAGGGACTATACTTACCTTGGTTGTGAGTGTCGGTAAGAACACAGACTCCACACCATGTAGGGACTATACTTACCTTGGTTGTGAGTGTCGGTAAGAACACAGACTCCACACCATGTAGGGACTATACTTACCTTGGTTGTGAGTGTCGGTAAGAACACAGACTCCACACCATGTAGGGACTATACTTACCTTGGTTGTGAGTGTCGGTAAGAACACAGACTCCACACCATGTAGGGACTATACTTACCTTGGTTGTGAGTGTCGGTAAGAACACAGACTCCACACCATGTAGGGACTATACTTACCTTGGTTGTGAGTGTCGGTAAGAACACAGACTCCACACCATGTAGGGACTATACTTACCTTGGTTGTGAGTGTCGGTAAGAACACAGACTCCACACCATGTAGGGACTATACTTACCTTGGTTGTGAGTGTCGGTAAGAACACAGACTCCACACCATGTAGGGACTATACTTACCTTGGTTGTGAGTGTCGGTAAGAACACAGACTCCACACCATGTAGGGACTATACTTACCTTGGTTGTGAGTGTCGGTAAGAACACAGACTCCACACCATGTAGGGACTATACTTACCTTGGTTGTGAGTGTCGGTAAGAACACAGACTCCACACCATGTAGGGACTATACTTACCTTGGTTGTGAGTGTCGGTAAGAACACAGACTCCACACCATGTAGGGACTATACTTACCTTGGTTGTGAGTGTCGGTAAGAACACAGACTCCACACCATGTAGGGACTATACTTACCTTGGTTGTGAGTGTCGGTAAGAACACAGACTCCACACCATGTAGGGACTATACTTACCTTGGTTGTGAGTGTCGGTAAGAACACAGACTCCACACCATGTAGGGACTATACTTACCTTGGTTGTGAGTGTCGGTAAGAACACAGACTCCACACCATGTAGGGACTATACTTACCTTGGTTGTGAGTGTCGGTAAGAACACAGACTCCACACCATGTAGGGACTATACTTACCTTGGTTGTGAGTGTCGGTAAGAACACAGACTCCACACCATGTAGGGACTATACTTACCTTGGTTGTGAGTGTCGGTAAGAACACAGACTCCACACCATGTAGGGACTATACTTACCTTGGTTGTGAGTGTCGGTAAGAACACAGACTCCACACCATGTAGGGACTATACTTACCTTGGTTGTGAGTGTCGGTAAGAACACAGACTCCACACCATGTAGGGACTATACTTACCTTGGTTGTGAGTGTCGGTAAGAACACAGACTCCACACCATGTAGGGACTATACTTACCTTGGTTGTGAGTGTCGGTAAGAACACAGACTCCACACCATGTAGGGACTATACTTACCTTGGTTGTGAGTGTCGGTAAGAACACAGACTCCACACCATGTAGGGACTATACTTACCTTGGTTGTGAGTGTCGGTAAGAACACAGACTCCACACCATGTAGGGACTATACTTACCTTGGTTGTGAGTGTCGGTAAGAACACAGACTCCACACCATGTAGGGACTATACTTACCTTGGTTGTGAGTGTCGGTAAGAACACAGACTCCACACCATGTAGGGACTATACTTACCTTGGTTGTGAGTGTCGGTAAGAACACAGACTCCACACCATGTAGGGACTATACTTACCTTGGTTGTGAGTGTCGGTAAGAACACAGACTCCACACCATGTAGGGACTATACTTACCTTGGTTGTGAGTGTCGGTAAGAACACAGACTCCACACCATGTAGGGACTATACTTACCTTGGTTGTGAGTGTCGGTAAGAACACAGACTCCACACCATGTAGGGACTATACTTACCTTGGTTGTGAGTGTCGGTAAGAACACAGACTCCACACCATGTAGGGACTATACTTACCTTGGTTGTGAGTGTCGGTAAGAACACAGACTCCACACCATGTAGGGACTATACTTACCTTGGTTGTGAGTGTCGGTAAGAACACAGACTCCACACCATGTAGGGACTATACTTACCTTGGTTGTGAGTGTCGGTAAGAACACAGACTCCACACCATGTAGGGACTATACTTACCTTGGTTGTGAGTGTCGGTAAGAACACAGACTCCACACCATGTAGGGACTATACTTACCTTGGTTGTGAGTGTCGGTAAGAACACAGACTCCACACCATGTAGGGACTATACTTACCTTGGTTGTGAGTGTCGGTAAGAACACAGATTCCACACCATGTAGGGAGTATACTTACCTTGGTTGTGAGTGTCAGTAAGAACACAGACTCCACACCATGTAGGGACTATACTTACCTTGGTTGTTAGCGTCGGTAAGAACACAGACTCCACACCATGTAGGGAGTTGTACATGGCAACTTCCTTAGAACTAAAGTCCCTGTTAAATACAATTAAAATATCCTATTATTATTTTAATAACACAAGCACCAGAAAAACATCATTTAGTCAGGTAACCACTACTGAACGTGTGACATTGATTTTGATGTTGATTTTTTTTTCACAAACTGATGTTAGGAGCTTGAAATTATAATTAAATAAAAGCATAAAGTTTCTTTTAAAACCTATTCTTTGTAATACATTTTTTCCAGACTGTTTTATGAAATGGTGGAACAGACATTTGTCAGAAAAAAACTTTCGTTAGCTGACAAATGTTATCGTCAGCAGACAAATGTTAATCAGAAACGTCCATCAAAGTTTAAATTTTATATCATAACAGATTGTTCCACGAATACTCTAACAGTATGATGGAACCACTCTAAGATTTTCCGAAAAGGCCAAACAAAAAACATTTGGTGTTTCCCGTATCCCTACCTACCTGATTTTTTTGTGCCTACCATTAACTTTTTAAGGCAATTTTCAAAGAGGCACTGTACAAATTAAGACCACTCGCCTATATAAACCACATGAAATTATTTTTTAAATTAAAATTTGTCACCTACCTGCCTACCCTAAATTTTTCAAACATGTTACAGGAAGACATATTGTTTTTTGTCTGGCCTAAGAAAACATTCAAATGTATTACAGTAAATCTTTGTTTTTTGTCTGGCCTAAGAGAACATTCAAATGTATTACCGTAAATCTGTGTTTTTTTTCTGGCCTAAGAAAACATTCAAATATATTACAGTAAATCTGTGTTTTTTGTCTGGCCTAAGAAAACATTCAAATATATTACAGTAAATCTGTGTTTTTTGTCTGGCCTAGGAAACATTCAAATGTACTACAGTAAATCTGTGTTTTTTGTCTGGCCTAAGAAAACATTCAAATGTATTACAATAAATCTTTGTTTTTTTGTCTGGCCTAAGAAAACATTCACATGTATTACAGTAAATCTGTGTTTTTGTCTGGCCTAAGAAAACATTCACATGTATTACAGTAAATATGTGTGCTAAGTTTTCACAACAAACTTTGTGTTGTGTTTACTTAGCGGCTATACAATGTAATGTATGTATCTATAAACAGGGTACTGGATACTCACAGAATTATCAATACTATCAATGTACTAACCTTGGTCTTTAATTGAAGATAGAGCATACATCTTTAATTAGACCATACAGATTACATGCATATAAAGGAAAATAAATCTTTTATAAGCTGAGAAGGAACATTTTATTAAGAAATGAAGTAAGCCCTGTGCTGACATACATACCTGATAGGTCGAACAAACATGACATCAGAATATCTGGTATCAGAAAACGCCTGAAAGTAATGAAAACTATATATTATTTTCTTCAGGTATTTTCACTCAATTATTCTCTAAACCAAAATAAACAAATAAATATACTATTTAATAAATAACAAAAGTTATGTTACTCAGTTTACACAGAAAATAGTATGAAGGCAAGTTGACATGGCCATTGTTGAACTTTTTTTAAAGTCTGCAATCATGTGGTGCTCTTTGTTATCTCCCCTTGATAGTACTAAACAATACCACGCTGAAGAAGCACACGATCTGTTACTTAGACCCCTTTACTTAGACCCCTTTACTTAGACCCCTTTCTCGTATCCGGTTTAACCAGTTGAAACGTTTGAACCTAGAAAGAAAACGACAGGCGCAGATCTGAATCGAAGCAGACCTCAGGAATATTCAGCACGTGTAGATTGAGAGGCCCAGACATACCTGTCTGAAACTAAAATGGTGACTATTGCTAGTTTGCGTTATGTCTTTATAAAACAATGACAAGCCACATGTAGTTTTTAAGATGTGTTATGTAATTCAGTGGATGCGTGAAAAAAGGGCATGATATTCTTAAAACATTGTTATTTATTCTCCGAAACTGCATTTTTTAGCTGTCTATAGTTCGATCCAAGTGCATTTGTTTATCGTGGAATACTTCTGCGCCACCTGAACCGTTTCAACAGGGATATGAGAATGTAACCTTACAGATAGGGCAAACACCAACTTAAACTAACAAAGTGGTTTATCACTATGACACTTTACAATAGTAACACATTGTCCATTAACTCACTGTATCCATAGCGACATGTGCGCCCCTTCCCTGTGATATATTTGACAGAAGGTTCACAGCCAGCCGAGTCCCACAGTGACCAGTCATGACCTTGGAGTAACCTTGAACATGGGCAACCTCCATCAGTAGCCTCTGTCTGAAAACATTCTATACATCTGAGTTTTTCATGGATTTTTACAGTAAGAATTTTTCAGGATTTTACTTAAGGATTGGCATAGAGTTAACATAAAGAGTCGCACAAAATCATTTACCGGTAATTATGTTATATTTATTAAATCAAATAAATTTTGAAAATCTTTGAAGTAAAAGATTGATGTACCTAGGTTTATAATTGTTTTCCCCTCAATTACAAAGTACCTTAATTTGTTGAGCATGTCCTCTCTGGCTGTGAGAGATTTGATGGAGGAAAACAATGCCTTGATCTCAACTCTTGCTTTGTTTAGGTTGTCGTCTGGACTCGCGGGGTCAGAGGTACAAACACTGGCCTGGTAAGATTCTGTCAGGCTGGACAGGTCAGCTTCAGACAAGTGTCCACCTTGGTCTAGACATATAGCCTAGGTAACAAAGACCATTTACAGTTAGTAGGGATTTAATTGTTATTATCATTCTTTTGGGAAGTGTAGTGATTCCCAGTGATGTTTACTAGTATTGTCAACATGGAAGTTTTAAAATGTTACAGAAAAGTTACAAATATAAACTGGCAATCAAATACCCATATGATATATCAATCAAACAGACAACGTGAAACTGGGTTACACAGCTTCACAGCTTTAAACTAAAAGTTGACTAGTTTCGACACATTAGATGTGTTGTAATCAGAATATATATGATACTAGGATCTCCCACTCCCCGTATGATATATATATATATGAGACTAGGATCTCCCACTCCCCATATGATATATATATATATGAGACTAGGATCTCCCATTCCCCATATGATATATATCTATATGAGACTAGGATCTCCCATTCCCCGTATGATATATATATATATGAGACTAGGATCTCCCACTCCCCATATGATATATATATATATGAGACTAGGATCTCCCA